TTTCAGGGATGATGAAAAAGTTCTAAAATTGATGTGATGGCTGCCCAACTTTGTGAATATACTAAAAACTACTGAATTGTACACTTTAAATGGGTGAACTGTATGGTATGTGAATTATATCTCAATAAATCTGCTACCAAAAACAAAGAGTAGCATGACCACAGAGACCAGAATCTCTCCATACACCATGCTGAGGAATTCTCAAACTATTTAATTCCCTTTGGAGCTCAATCAACCCAGAGATGCTGGATCTCAACCCCCTGTCTTCTCCCCAACAGTAACCCAAGATTCTAGAGAACTCTGTCAACCCAAGTGGCATCTAACCCAGGGGCCTGTGAGCCACACCCATCCCTGACTCCACATACCATGGCTGGTGTTGAAGTTCATCTTGCAAAGGTTTTATTAAAAACAAAAATTTCTTATTTACAGTAGGTACATCTTATAAACTACACATATACACACATATATTTTAAATATATATATATATTTTAATGTAGTAAGAGATTGATCCACATCATTATGAGTCCATCAGTTACACAACAAATATTTGCTGAGTATTTACTATGCACCAGACACTGTACTTACAGCTGAGGATACAGACGAGAACAAGAGACCATGAGCATTTGTGATAAGGATTCAGATCATAAACAACTACCTTCCAACAGAGACAATAATCTCTCTGCCCCAAAATAAATCTAATACCACAATCAGCTTCTACTTTGGAAACTTTGTGAAGAAAACAAATCCAGTTTTAGAAGGCAAATCTCTCATTTGAAAGGGGGGAAAAATGAGACCCAGCAAGGGAAGGTGACTTGCCCAAGGTCACACAGGGTGACTCCATTGCAGCAACTCTCTCAAATCGACTGTGAGGCCCTTGAAACCATGCGAACATGCAGCTCCCTGATGCATGGAAGATGCTTGGGAAACAGTCTGTGTTGTTGTTGTCCTTGGTCTCTCTTTCTAGTTCATGTAACCAACACTGTAGTCCACCTCCCACCCCACCCTGGGATACTGTAGAAATCTTGCATTTCCCATGCTGCTCTCCAGCCCCTCTCCAGGCTGTGCCCTCACAACCCAGGCACCCACACCCTGAACTGTGGATCCATCACACCCTTGGTGAGATATAAATACATACAGCAAAAGTTGTTTTGGACAGTTCTAAAGAGAGGTGTGTCAAGAAGAGGAAGTTATCTTCCTATATTTATATGTATTCCCCACATTGCAGAACAGCTTCTCAGCAGCAGGCGGACGGCACTGGGGTCCAGCAGAAACGGCCCGGGCTGGGAATCCAACAAGGATCTTTGAACGAATTTGAGCTAGTTGCTGGTTCTCTTCTCCAGACACCTGTTTTCAAAATGACCCTTAGTATATCTTTATACCTCAGATTCCTCCTTCCCCCATCACTTACCATTTCTCAGAATCTCTCTCTCTTCTCAAATACATAGCCGTGGGACGCACTTTTGTTGTTTATTCCTCAAGTCAGCCCCTTGACCATCAACATCATTGCAGTTCTAGTTGCTTTATAGGAAAACTTCTACTCAATTTTCTCTGAGATGAAATTTAAAGGTCTTTACAGCCAAGTAATCTGAGGGACAGAGCTGGAGAAGATGACACTGTATTACTCCAAAAGGTTCACAAGCCACCTATTCAAGGCAGTGTTCTTACTAGAACATACTCCTATGAAACCTTTGTACCATTTAAGTGCTTCGGCAAGTAGAAAATAATATAAAGGGTCTAGGTTTGAATGACTCTCACTGCGACAATTTTGTGCTGATTTTACCATTACCATTCATTTCTCCTCCAGGAGATTTCATAAGGACAATCCTCTGAGGCCAAGCAACTGTCTATTTATTCAGGACCAGCTTGCCAATTCTGCACATTCGAATTCTAGACATGGGGCCCTTTGGAGAGTGTAGTGGGATCATTGGTGCCCCCCACCAAAGATACGTCCACCTGGAACCTGTGAATGTGACCTTATTTGGAAAAACGTCTTTGCAGAAGGAATTAAGTTAAGGATATTGAGGTGAGATCCTCCTGGATCAGGGTGGGCTCTAAATCCAATGACAAGTGCCCTAATTGGGAAAGAGAAGGAGAGAAGCTATAGAAGGCCATGTGAAGACGGAAGCAGGGACTGGAGAGATGCTGCCAAAAGCTGAGGGATGCCTGGAGCCACCAGAAGTTGGAAGAGGCAAGGAAGAATCTTCCCCTAGAGCCTTCAGAGGGAGTGCAGTGTCCACACCTTGATTTCAGACCTCTGGCCTCCACAGCTATGAGAGAATAAATTTCTTTTATTTACCAAGTTTGTGGTAAATTGTTATGGCAGCCTCAGGAAATACCTGGAGGGCTGAGGGGTGGAGAGTTAGACAGAGGCTGACACAGTGTTACTCTCCCCTGAGACAGGGTGGAGGACATGGACGCTCCCAAGTCTCTTATTCCCCTATATATGCCGCATGCCAAGGAGCATCCAGTGAGAAACGCTGGCCTCCAAGTCCAATCCATCCGGAGAATTCTAGTGGATTCTAGGGCTTGGCTGATCTACTCGAGATCAGCAGAGCTTGTCTCTTCTAACCCCTCAGTTTTTGTTCTTCATTTATGCTTCTCTATCTGGAGTAACTTGCCCTTTCTTGCCATGCTTAAAAGATAAAGAATGTAAGCTCTGGGAGCGCAGGGCTGTTTGCCCAACACCTGTAACGAGCACAGCAGTTTGCACTTGGAGGTGATAAGTCAATAATGGCTGAATGAAGGATTAAAGAAGCATGTGAAAGAAATAGCATTTGCCTCACAACTACTGAGAAGTCGGCTGCAGCCCACCTGCAGTTTCTGATTCAGTAGACCTGGGATGGGGCCCACGAATTTGCATTTGTTGCAAGTTCCCAGGTGATGCTGATGCTGCTGGTCCAGGAACCCCACTTTGAGAACCCCTGGCCTAGAACAGGAATGCATTTACAGTGGCCAGGATTCCAAGGTTCATGAGCTCAACAACAGAAATACCACCCCACAGAGAAAACTTTGACCAAAACTATCACGAGCTTTACCTTTCTCCCTGGCTTATCTGTTAGCAGATAACAACATGAACAGGCTTCCAGCTCTTCCAGAGCTTTCCTTCAGTCAATGCTGCATTTTTCTACTTGAGGTAGTTCCTTTACTTACAGCCCCCAAGCCTTTAGGTAACATCAGCTGCTACCCTGCTGGTATCAGTTAAGCAACCACCTGAAGAGGTTTCTCCTCCCTGTGCACAATGAAGGTCCAGCGCCTCTGGGGAACAGCTGCCTCTGTTTCTTCCAGTCTGCATGGCTGGGGGCATTGCTAAAACTCAAGACAATAGAGGCAGATGAATGGACAAATGAAATGTGGTGCATAGGTATAATGAACTATTATTCACCCTTAAGAGGAAGGAAATTCTGACACCTGCTCCAACATGGATGGACCTTGAAGCATTATAACAAGGAGAGAAGCCAGACACAAAAGGGCAAATACTGTATGATTCCCCTTATATGATGTACCTGGAGAGTCAATCCATAGAGACAGAAAGGAGAAGGGTGGTCTCCAGGGGCTGGAGGAGCAGGGAATGGGAAGTTAGTGTTTAGTGGGTACAGAGTTTTAGTCTAAGAAGATGAAAAGTCCTGGAGATGGATGGTGGTGATTGTTGCACAATAAAGTGAATGTACTTAATGCCACTGAATGTACACTAAACGGTTAAGATGGTAAATTTTATGTTATGTATGTTTTATCACGGTTAAAAAAAAGAGAATAGAAACTCGCCTTCATTTCCCTTTTTAATGTACCTCGAGGGGTTTGCAGAGCACAACTCTCCCTCCCCCGAGTCAGACAAGGAACAGAAAAATGATCTGCAGATAATTGCTATATTATTTTTTTGTTCTTGTTACCCTTAGAGATAGGTAATGTAGAATCCTCTAGAAAAACTTTCGATGGTTCACATTTCAGGTAAAGCCACACACACATGCGGGAGCACACGTAAAACTGACGAGTTTCACCCAATTTTGCTTCCCCGCACAGAAGTCGTGTTTTCCCATAGCAGTAGTTTCCAAAGTGGGGTCCGTGGAGCAGCGGCAGCAACATCACCTTAGAACTTATTAGAAATGCAAATTCTCGGGCCTCACTCCCGACCTACTGAGGCAGCAAATCCGGGGTGAGGCCTGGGAACCTGCATTTTCACAAGTCCTCCCGGCGGCTCAGATGCGCGCTCCCGTTGGGGCGTCCCTGGCCCCACTGCTCCTGTCGCGGGCGGCTGTGCCTCTCGCCCGCCCCCGGGGGCCTGGGGCGGAACAGCGGAGGCCCGGTGCGGGCCACGGACAGGTGTCCTCCTGCTGGGGCTCAAGGGGCGCTAACCTCTGCTCCCTGCTGTTCCACCGCCTCCCGGGGTGGAGCCCGGCGCCCTGCCTGCACACCTCCAGCTGCACAGGTAGCTGGGCAGAGCCTGGAAACAAAGTCACAGGAGCAGCACCTTAAAAAAAAGCCCTCCCGCCGGGCCTCCGCTTGCAGTCGCAGAGAGCACTCGCAGCCGCCAGCATGGGTAGGCTCGCGGGGCCAGAATGCGCGGGTCGCCGGAGAGCCCGGGGCGCAGGGGCTGCGCGGTCGGGGCGCTGCAGAGGGGGCGCCGGGGCACCGGGCCAGGCTGCGATGCTGCTCCCCGCCGTCGCCGGTGGCTCGCGGACCTGCGCGCGGAGCCGGGAGAGCTGGCACCCCGGGCGGGCGCACGGGCGCGCGGCAGGGACACGTCGCTGCGGCGGGAAGCGCCTGGGGGTCAGTGGAGCCGGGGCTCGCGGGCTCCGGGAAAGCTGTCGGGCGCCGGATCTCCCTCCGGTGCCGGATGGTCTCCGCGCTCCCAGGGCGCAGAGGGCCCTGAGGCGCCCGGACTCAGAGCTTGAGAGAATGAACGCAATACTCTTGACCTGCCTACTTGTTGGGAAGCCTCGGTCCTCGTGTTCCCACCCTGCGGGCTGTGAGTGGGCTTGAAGCTGGCCTGGGTCGTGCGCGCGATGGCAGGGCCCGCGGAACCTCCACCCCGCTGGTGGGCGCTCGGGGGCCGCCTTTGCGCTTTTATTGCCGCTGGCTGGCGAGGTGACCCCAGAGCTCTGGAGGGAGCCCTGCCTGGTCCAAGAGGATTTGGGGCTGGCCCTTTGCGGCCCTTATCGTTCTGCGACTGTCCTCAAGCCTCAAGAGAAGGCACAGGAGGAGAGTAGCTGGTCCTTTATAGGCATGGAGCATCAGCGGAACATCTAGAAATCAATCCTGCCTGCTGCCGAATAAACCGCTCTGGAGGGAATGCTGAAGCCGAGAGCAGAGTTCAACCCAGCCCTCTTCTCCCTTATAGATAGGGAGGCGAGTCAAGGGACTCCCCCGAAGTCGTGCGGTGATGGGCCCAGCAGGCACAATGCGGCCCGTGGTTGAGAGAACCGTCCGACTTTGGCACTTCCATCGCCTTCTACCTGCTTGCTACCTCTGTGATTCTGCATCGGTGCATTAAGCTCTTTGGGCCTCGACTTCCATAGCCATTAGACAGGAGGGTCAGTTCCGCTCTCAGTGTTGCGTTGAGCTGTGTGAGAGCATATCTGGTGTGCAGCACTCCGGCTGGCTCTCATAGTCACACTGTGCCGCGCCGAGTGGTGGCTCTGACGTAGCAGTATTGAGTGGTTCACACTTGGGACTTCTAGTTATGGCTGACCAGGCTTGTTCCAGAAAGATGCTGCAGCCTCCCTCTCAGGTGGAGGTTGTCAGCAGTGTGTGCTTCCCCGCAGACTGACCCCTGGGCTGGGGTTCTGGATCCCACCTCACACACTGCTCCCTCGTCCCTCTGTGTAACTTTTCCGGGAGGTGCTCTGAGTATTTATTTTGGTCTTCAGACAGCAAATACCTGAGTAGCATTTGTGCTGTTAGAACTTTCCAAAAATAGTTCCAAGTGAGGTGGCTGTCAGCAGCCTGATTATTGATGAACGAACACAGCTTCTGAAGTATCCTCCTGAAAGACTTGATTCTTTCCAGTTTGCAAATCAGTCCTTCCGTGTTTGTTTGTTTGTTTTTTGGCAACTGAGACTGGTGTAGCATATGAGTAGCAACAAAAAGTTTATATTCAGAAACCAGTTTTATGTTTACTCAAGTCCTAAATTTTCAATATCTAGGTTTAGATAGTAAGTGAAACAGATAATTAGAAAATGTTTTTTAATACAAAAGTAGCAATGACTTCCCCTCTTGAGAGCAGATCTTGGACACTTATATTATGCCAAAATTGTTTCAGATACCCTTGTGACTGAAGGGGGAACCCTTGGACGCTGGGTGAACCCAGCAGGAGGGAAAGAAAGGAAGAAACAGTTCTTAGAGAAACGTTTTCTCTGAGCCGATTTCATCCCAAGTGGAATTGGAGCTGAGTTTCACCTGGGTTCTCTCCCACGCCCCGGGGAATGGAGGGGCAGGAGTTATGACTGAACAGGGCAGCGAGGGATGGGATGAGTCGGAACTGCACTATCAAGGCATTTATTAGACTGAGTAACATAAGCAACAAGATTCCACAAGAATAAACTGGATAAGAAGTTGCTTTGGATTGTGACACGGGACAACTAGGCCAGCTGCAGTATCTGGTTGGAATCATGAACTGCAAACCCTTTGCTCTAAAGACGGTCGGCAAACCTCTGTTGTAAAGGGCCAGATAGTAAATATTTTTGGCTTTGAGGGCCATACAGCCTCTGTGGCAACTACTCAACTCTGCCTTTGTCATTCCAAATATGTAAATGCAGGGGCAGAGCTGTGTTCCAATAAAACTTTATTTATGGAAACAGAAATTTGAATTTTATATAATTTTCATGTGTCACAAAATAGTCTTTAAAAATTGTTTTTCAATCATTGAAAAATGTAGAAACCATTCTTAGCTTGTGAGCCATAGTTTGCTGATCCTGGCTTTAAAGTATGGGTGTGCTTATCAGACCTGGAAGTAGAGAGAAGGCTGGTTTCCCAAGGGCTGTTTTGAGGAGTTAGTTCTTGGAATGACTGAGAACCTCTCCAGCGACTGAGCCGCCTCTGAGGCCTGTGTAGGGGTGGGAATGCTTTTGCTGAAGATTTTGAGTATTTGATCTCTCCCATCTCCCCCACCCCACTCCCTTCCCAGAGCTTAGCAAGAGTCTACGCTCAAGTTGTTCCTCTCACAAATTACTTCCCAGGCTTTGGTCCTGGAAAACCATAGATACTGCTCTGTCATTTGCCACATATTTGACTTTGAAAATTAAGTATGAGGAGGCTTCAAGTCCTATGAAGTAAGCTCCTGCCTCCCTCTGCCAGGGCCTCCAGGCTGCTTTGAGAAATTCATTCACTTAACGAAGGATACTTGATTGTCTTCCTGTCCCCCCAGATCTCAGCCTCCTGCTATCCTTGTATGGGATTCCAATGAGTTTTTCAATCCGCTTTCTGCCTGAGTGTAAAATCATGGACTAGCCTTGAAGGTGCCACAAACCTGGCCATTTAAAAGTCCTTCCACATTCTCTCCTCTTTCTAGAAGGTCTTAGGTAAACCAAAGGACACTGCTGAAGGCCCAGGGAAGCCAGCATTCCTGCTACAGGCTGTGATGTACAGCTGGAGGCTGAGGTTGCTCCCCACCAGTGGGTGCCTTGGGCCTCTGAGCCTTGGGAGAAGCTTATTCCTCCCAGACAGTAAGAAGAGAGAACTTCTGACACTGGGTTCTTTGGGGCTGACGTTACTCTAAGTCAGTAGTCGTCAAACTTGAGCATGCATCGGGATCACCTGAGTGAGGGCTTTTTCTAACAGGTTGTGGGCCCCACCCCTAGAGTCTCTACTTCAGCAGGTCTGGAGCAGGGCTCATGGATTTGCATTTATGAAAGTTCCCAGGTGCTCCTGCTGGTCCCAGGACCACACTTGTATTGAGAACCGCTGCTCTAAATGACTCTAAAGGATAGGCTGTCTTTTTCTTGACCCTCGCCCGTGTCCAACTACTGTGCCCCCAAAATGAGATTGTGGCAAGAAGATCTAGTGCAGTCTGGCCCTTGTCTAGCCCTAGCTTGTCCATGATGATCAAGTTTGGGGTAAGTTAGTAGCTTGTTAGTGCCATCAAGTCAATTTCAACTCTTAGGGACCCTGTATGCAGCAGAGCAGCAGAGCAGAACCCTGCTCCGTCTTTTTGCACCATCCTCTCACCTTCCAGGGCTGTATCAGACAATGCTCTGCTGCCATTCATAGGGTTTTCATGGCCAACTTTTTCAGAAGTGGGTGGCCGGGTCCTTCTTCCTAGTCTGTCTTAGTCTAGAAGCTCCCCTGAAACCTGTCCACCATGAGTGACTGTGCTGGTATTTGAAATACCAGTGGCATAGCTTTCAGCATCACAGCCACAGGCAGCTGCCACAGTATGACAACTGACAGACAGACAGATGGGTGTTGTGGTTCCCTGACCAGAAATGAACCTGGGCTGTGGCGGTGAGAGCGCTGAATCTTAACCACTAGACCACCAGAGCTGGCTAAGTTAGTAGCTAGAGTTAGAAAATTAAAAGGCTAAGAATGTAGGGTAGATGGCCGGCCCTGTGGCTTGGTGGTTGAGTGCGCGCGCTGCGATGCTGGTGGCCCGGGTTCGGATCCCGGGTGCGCATCGAGGCACCGCTTCTCCGTCCATCCTGAGGCCGAGTCCCACATACAGCAGCTGGAGGGATGTGCAGCTATGACATACAACTATCTGCTGGGGCTTTGGGGGGAAAAAATTAAATAAATAAAATCTTTAAAAAAAAAAAAAAAAAAAAAAAAAAGAATGTAGGGTAGAAAAGAACAGGAGTGAGGAATTGATGTGGTCCGGCTAAGTCTGGCAGGGGGTGGGCCTAAGTCACTCCTTTATGCAGGTATTTATTTACCATGTGAAGGTATAAAATAGTCCTGCCTTAAAGAAACTCATCCTTAGGGGCAGGACCACAAGCCCATAAACAACATTTTTCCACAGTGAGTTGTAGTTGAGGTGAATAAAGTATTATGAGACCAGCGAAAGCAGCAGCTCATGGTGTCCTGTCGAAGTTGGAGGATTTGCCATCTTAGTGCTACATTTTTGCATAGTCCTTCACCCCTCCCTAAGATGTCCTGAGTGGAATTATTCTATTTTTGGTTTACTTGGATTTTTTGATTAATAATTTTCTTGCTGCCCTCTGAGTTACTGAAGAACAGAGAAGAGATTGAGAGATCACTCGACTGGGCTAGCTGAACTACCAGGAGAGCTCACTAGCGAGATGGACAGCCCGACGAGGAGGGGGATGAATGGAATCACGGGACGGGGGCTACCAAGCCAGCTGTGTCCCACCTCTCGGGGCGGCAGCAGCTCTTGGACACAGTTGCATCTTGATTGCATCCCTGGCAGGAGAGAAAGTGGGTAGGTGTCCCAGGTGAGCTGATGAGGAAATACAAACAAGGGTGGAATCTGAGGAACATTACACATTCCTCCACCAGGGTGGTGACAGAAGGAGAACAGTATTATCAGGAGATGAATGAGAACCATTGACTCATAATGCTGGGGTTGCAACATGAAGAACCAGGGAATGGCTATTTTGTAACTTTGTCCCTTGGTTTAAGAGGCCAGAAATACATCACCGAGGAAGCCGAATGGGGCTGTGGGACGTGCCCCTGCTCGCCGCGCCCTCACCGTCAGGATTCCTTACGAGCACAGCTGCCGTCCGCGGGCGGTGCGGGGTTAAAGCAGTCTCAGCAGCTGGAAAGGGCCGCAGCCAAGGGGCAGGAAGAGGATCTTCCCCAGACTCTCCTCGAGAAGGAGGGCGGTCTGGTTCCTCCAAGATTGGAAACCAGCCACGGCCTCCTGCGGAGCTGCTGAAAGGAGCCTCTTATTGGGAGAGGGTTTAGAGTCTTCCAGTTACTGGGTGGGGATCTGTGAAACCCAGCACGTGCCCAAAGGAAAATTTGGCTCAAGGATCAGACTTAAGACTGGAAAATTCGCAAAATGTGCTCACATTAGCAGGCCCACTGAAAGTTCTCAAATTAAGCATTTAAATCTTCTCCATCTGCCTCCAGTGGCAAGATTTTATTATAATCTTTATTAGGACGTATCAGGAGGTACATTTGAGATGTTCTTGAAGGAACAAACTTTTTTTCCCATTTAGTCGAAACACATAAGCTCACGTGGCATATTTGTTTCCTGTAGCTGCTGTAACAGAAGTGTCACAGGCTGGGTCATTTAAAACAACAGAAATGTATTCTCTCACCGTTCTGGAGGCTGGAAGCCCAAAATCCAGGTGTCAGCAGGGCCGTGCTCCCTCTGAAGGCTCTAGGGGAGACTGTGGTCCCTGCCTTTCTCTTAGCTTCTGGTGCCGCCAGCAATCCTTGGTGTTCCTTGGCTTGCAGACACATCACTCCAATCTCTGCCTTCATGGTCACATGACCATCTTCTCCCTGTATGTCTTCACATCCTCTCCCCTCTGTGGGTGCCTGTCTTCACATGGCCCTCTTCTTCTAAGGACACCAGACACATTGGATTAAGGGCCCACCAACTCCAGTCTGACCTCATCTTAACTCATTACATCTGCAATGACCCCATTTCCGAATAAGGTTACATTCTGAGATTCTAGGAGGGACATGAGTTTGGGGGGACACTATTCAACCCAGTACACATGGTAATAGAAAATGTCCTCTCTGAAATATGTACTTTTACATAACTTTAGGTAGGAAATATTTTTAGTGTGTAAAGATGACTCCATTATGACCTGCATCCTTAGGTTAGGTGCTACCTTGGGTGACTAGTATCTTCCCCCAGTAAGACAGATGGATTTTCTGGTCATAGCTCTAATCAGTTCTCAGCAACAATCTATTTAATAACAGAGTTGGTGTGTAGAAAACACCCCCCGTGTATAATATTAGGTGAATCAGTAATGCTCACAGTGATGTTTTAGATGCAGGTAATTGACCTCAAATTAATTCTAAAAATTATGTTCCTACTTTGTTGGTACTGTACTGTGGATCTGTGGATAAAGTTCTCAGGCAACCTTTAACTGTGAATAGTGTTTAACTTTTTTTTATAGCTGTTTCTTCTATGCATGCTCATTCTAAAATTATAAGACTGGAAAAAATAAGTCACCCAACACCTCTAAGGAGATTTGTTAGGTGATATCTAACAAAATTTAAAACACACATAATATTTTATCAGCATTCTACTTCTAGAAATTTCTTATAGATATTCTCATAATAGGAATGAGGTATGTACAACCTAAATATCAACTGGGGAAAAAAATGTGCATTCTGTACATAGTTTTGTAGCCTAACTTCACACTTAACCATGATCACAAAGCATTTTTTTTAGTCATGATATAACATCTCAGAGTAAAAAAATCTGTTTCTAAAATTTAGGGTCTCTAACTTAATTGCCTCCAAAACAAACCCCCCGAAAGACCAGGAGATTGGTTCCTTTTGATTTAGTGACACTTGTGTGCCTTTGGCATTGTTTTCTCCTATGACAATGTATAGTATTATCAGGGCCGATGCTAAGATGCTTGTTTCTGTTGCCTGATTGGGGGGTGCAATTTGCTGTGGGGAGAGGGTGCTGTCCACGAGGCTGATAGCCACTTCCCCTCATGTTCTCTCTTATTTCCTGCTAGAGCCTGCTCTGAAGATAGGTCTGTCTTCTCTCTAACCTGTGACTGTACAGTAGTCCTCCCTTATCCACAGGGGATACATTCCAAGATCCCCAGTGGATGCCTGAAACCACGGATAGTACTGAACCTTATATGTACTGTTTCTTCCTGTACAGTCATGCGCCATATAACAATGTTTCGGTTAACGATGGACCACATATATGATGGTGGTCCCATATGATTAGTACCATGGAGCCCAGGTGTGTAATAGGCCATACCATCTAGGTTTGTATAAGTACACTCTATGATGTTCGCACAATAACTAAATCTCCTAAGGACACATTTCTCAGAACATATCCCCTTCATTAAGCAATGCGTGACTGTACATACATACATACCTGTGATAAAGTTTAACTTATAAATTAGGCACAGTAAGAGATTAACAACAATAACTAATAATAAAATAGAACAATTATAACGATATACTGTAATGAAAGTTGTGCAAATGCGGTCTATCTCTCAAAATGTCTTATTGTGCTTACTCAGCCTTCTTCTTGTGATGATGTGAGATGATAGAATGCCTACATGAGACCATTATTACTGTGATACCGCAACAGTCGATCTGATAACCAAGAAAGCCTTAGCCTTTAGGCCACTAAGTGATTAACAGGTAGATAGTGTATACAGTGTGGACCCGCTGGACAAGGGGATGATTCACGTCCCAGGCAGGACGGAGCAGGACAGCCTGAGATTTCATCACGCTACTCAGAACAGTGTACAATTTAAAACTTATGAATTATTTATTTCTGGAATGTTCCATTTAATATTTTTGGACCATGGTAGACCGCAGGTAACTGAAACCACGGAACGTGAAACTGTGGACTGGGGGGATGACTGTATTTGCTTATTCACTCTCAGCAGTCATAGCATGTAAAGTCAACCTCACTCTGAGTTCAGGATGAAGGGTGTTCTCCTAGAATAAAAGAATGTCCAGGTGTAGATAAAGGAAATAACTTGGAGAGCAAGGGTTGCTTTCCTAACACCCAATGAATCATCTCCCCTGAGTAACCGACCCCTGCCTACACCTGAGATGGAGCTTAGAACTGGCCCTGGATCTTGACCCTCTGGCCTGGCTGCCCTTTCCCTGCAATTGAGGAATCTCTGAGCATGTCCAAAAGCGGTTGGGTCCTGGGGCCACAGAGATCGTTTCTTTCTGAAGGAGAACAGGAATGGCAGTCAGTGAGTCACGTCTATAGCTGTGGAAACAAGATGCTAAAAGGATTTATAAAATGGGTTTATAAAAAATTTATAAATCATCAGAGGTGGCCTTATCGGGCCTCTTAAGCCTATGATTTTAGAGCATTATATGTAGAAATCTTTTTAATAGGCAGGAGAATATCTGTAGCCTCCAGCAATAGCTTGTGTACTGCAAATGCTCTCTGATTGTCGTGGGTTGTGTCCCCCCAAATTCACATGCTGAAGTCCTAACCCTCAATATCTCAGAATGTGGCCTTGTTTGGAAATAGGGTCATTGTAGATGTAGTTAGTTCAGATGAGGTCATCCTGGAGCAGGGGGGCCCAATCCAATATGACTGGTGTCCTTACGAGAAGGGGAAATTTGGACACTGACACACAGAGGGAAGACCTCGTGAAGATGAAGGCAGACATCAGGGTCATGCTTCTATGAGCCAAAGAAAGTCAAAGATAGCCAGTAAACCACCAGAAGCTAAGGGAGAGGCCTGGAAGAGATTCTCCCTCAGCCCTCAGGAGGAACCAACTCTGCCCACACCTTGATCTCAGACTTCCAGCCTCTAGAACTGTGAGACGATAAATTTCCGCTGTTTTAAGCCACTCCGTTTGTGGTCCGTTGTTATGGCGGCCCCAGCAAACTAATGCACTGACCGAGAGCTGTTGTCCTCAGTCCTGACCTGTGGACCCCACGCTGAGGGAGGAGGGGGCTTAAAGAAAGGAGAAAGCACGGCTGTCAGACACACACAGGACAAGGCCTGGCTGCTGGGTGCTTAAAGATACAACGAGGCCATTTATTACACACCGAGACAGCGAAGGAAGACTAGCCAAAGGTGCCAGCTCCCTGAGGTCCCCATCCCCACAACAAAAAGGGTGACACTGAAACAACAGGGCTGATGATGGAAACACACATTGTGAGACACCCAGTTGCTGAGGAGCCAACGCCAGACTGTAGTTAAGTGGTTTGCTATTCTGTATCTGTCTTCTCTGGGGCCTGGACAGAGAGGCCCACACCTCGTTAGCTGGACTCACACCTTTGCCCCTGTGGCCTATGTGGATACAAGGTCCCCAGCGCTCCAGAGCTGAGCCGTCCCCTGCAATGGCATCATGCCAAAGTCACTTAATAAAACCTATACTGCCCCATTAACACTGGTTTCCCCGTAGTTCTAAAGTAGCTTTATGTTATTAGGGTTTAGTTGACATTCTGAATTCTCAAAGGACTGGTAACTCGTTTGCTTTTAGCAGTGGTGCAGGCCAGACAACCAGTAGCTTGATTAAACTGGCATTCTGGAAACCATATATCCATGCGTTCCATGTTTGTGTAGCTATTTGTCCATGTACCAGAGGAAAAATAGATTCCCTCTTAGTGGGGAAGATGATAGTGGTGGAAAAGAGGCTATTTCTATAAAAAACAATTGAAGGATGGGCAGGGCCACCGCCCATAGGTGTGCAGGCTGTACCCTGCATGGAGGCCCAAGCAAGAGGGCCCCGGGGACTGGAAGGCAGCCCACACTCCGTGCCAAGCAATGCGTCCACCCAGGGACTCCTTTTCCTATTGGAACCAAGCCGCTGTCCACCCGTCAAGCCTTGCCTCCCGGGGCAGCATCCAGCCTGAAAAATCACAGTTTTCTAATGTGCACAGAAGTGCCCTATGGACTAGCAGGGCCCTTGAGGGTGGGAAATGTGGCAAAACATTCAAGTAAGAAAAAAAAAATCAGGGGTCGGCCCTGTGGCGCAAGCGGTTGAGTGCGCGCGCTCCGCTGCGGCGGCCCGGGGTTCGCTGGTTCGGATCCCGGGCGCGCACTGACGCACTGCTTGGCAAGCCATGCTGTGGTGGCGTCCCCTATAAAGTAGAGGAAGATGGGCATGGATGTTAGCCCAGGGCCTAACAGTCTTCCTCAGCAAAAAAAGAAGAAGATTGGCAGATGTTAGCACAGGGCTGATCTTCC